TCATTAAGTGTCCAGTTTAAGGGTATTACACAGAAACATACCAAGGGAACATGAATCAAATATGTATCTTTATTCATTTACAATAAACTTATAGAGTACATCATTCTGATTGAAGCTAAGGGCATACAAAACTGTCTAACACACACCCCATGTAAAAATATAGAAAAAACAAAGAAAAAAGAACAAAAAAGGAAAGGAAAGGAAAGGAAAGAAAGGGAAGGGAAAGAAAAAGAAAGAAAAAGAAAGGAAAGAGAAGGAAAGGAAAGAAAAGATAAGGGGAAAGAAAGTGGGTTGGGGACTAACCCCCGGACCCCTCCTTTTAACTAGTGATATGCACCTTTATTCTTCTTAATATAAAAGATTTGTATTTAAAATAAAGAAAAACGAGATCCTCCTTCCTCCTCATCCCCCCTCCTCTTAAGTAGACTTGTGCCTCTTTGTGTTCAGGAGGCTTACGCCTCTTACGTTCTGAACTATGTCTCACGCCTCTTGGTAGTGGAACGCCTCGCGTCACACCTCCGCGTTTTAAAACATTGGTCATTTCTTGTTACCACTATGTCATCTACATACACTATATGACTATAAGAATCGTGATTTAGGGCTTTAGGCTCAGTTTGGAAAGAGTACAAATACAAATATGTAGAGTACAAAACCTTGTACTATATTATTTTCTATGTATTTGTACTGTACATATTTGTATTTGTACTCTTTCCAAACTGAGCCTTAGTGACCAATTCTCTTCAAAATAAGGGTGTGATCCGCACTGCTTTGGATGTATCCAAAACTCTTCATAGCTTTATATTGCCTTCCAAACCACTCTCTAGGAAACTGTTTTAAAACGTATAGATCTCTCTTTAACTTGCACTTCTTTCCCATTATATCATAACTAGGGGGTCCATCAAAACTTCTTGTAAATCTCTATTTAGAAATGCATTTCTTACATCAAGGTAATATTGCTCCCATAAGTAGTTTGTTGCTAATGATATTAGTATTCTTATAGTGTTTATCTTGACAACAGGAGCAAAAGTCTCTTTACAATCTATGACTTCTTTCGGTGTAAACCTCCTGGCCACCAATCTAGCTTTGTACCTCTCAATAGAGCTATCTGTTTTGTGCTTTATGGTATACACCCATTTACATCGTAGAGAACTCTTTCCCTTTAGTAGGTCAACTAGCTCCCATATCTAGGCCTTTAATAGAGTTTTCATTTCTTCATCCACAACTTCTCTCCAATTAGGATCAGCTATATTCTGACGACAAATAGAAGAAGCAAAAGCAAAAGATCTATAGGTAGGAGCCAGATAAGAATAAGATATACTAGGCCAAGGATGAATAGTTCTAGAATGAACAGGTTTACAAATATACAAGAATGAACAGGCTTACAAATAGCAATTGGAACATCCAAGTTAGAGCAGGGAACCAAGGAATTAGAACTAGTGTTTTAAAAGGCACGGGAGGCATACACCTAGAGGTGTGCCTCCAAGCAAGACACCCCTAAAATGCCTAGAGGTGTATGCCAAAAGCATTGATACCTCTGAGGCGTATGCCTAATACGCTTCTTTCATGAGGCATACGTCTCATGTGCCTCACACACACCTCATACAAAAAGACAAAAAAATAGAGAGAGAGAGAGAGAGAGAAAAAAGAAAGGAAAGGAAAGGAAGGCAAGTAAAGGAAAGGAAAGGAAAAGAAAGAAAGAAAGAGAAGAAAAAAAAAAGATGAAAGAAAGAAAAGAAAAGGGAAGGGAAAGAAAGAGAATAAAAGAGAAGGGGAAAGAAAGTTTAGGTCGGGGGCTCCGCCCACGGATCACCTTGGCTAGGGGGCTCTCACTCACTTTACTCACTCACCTCCACTTCGACAAGACCCCCCACCCTTCAGCTAATATTATGTATCTTCATTCTTCTTAATTTTAAGGATTTTTATTTTTTTGATAAATGAATTTTAAGGATTTTTATTAAAAATAAAGAATAATGAGATGCTCCTTCCCCCCTCTTCCCACCTCATCCCCCTCTTAAGGAGCCTTTTGCCTCCTTGTGTTCGGGAGGCTTACGCCTCTTACGTTCTAAACTACACCTCACGCCTCCAGATCGTGGAACACCTCACATCATGCCTCCCTGCTTTAAAACACTCATTAAAACTGTATGTTCTAAGTACTTGGAGCAAACTAGGGATCTAGAGCAAACTGAAGGGTGTATAATTGATCCTAGTCATCCATTCAAGTGCCCTTCTACTTTCTTTAATAAACTTGTAGTTCTTTACCATCTGTAGCAAGAGCAAGAGGATCACAAGAACTAGAAGGATCAAAGGAAGAACGTGAAAAATCTAGATGAACAAAGGAATTCTCTTCAATCCCAATAATTTCTCCCCGAGGAGAATTTTGAGGAGGCTCAAAATAACACTAGGACCAAGGTTCAAAATTTCGTAACGTGTCGGACCGTATCGGCCGATACATATCATTCTGGTATAAGTCCGACACACAGAACGCATAGAAATCATCTGTAGCATTCCTTTTTGTATGTATCGGCCTGTATCGGACCCTGTATTGGACTGTTTCGGGTCTATATCGGGTGATACGGTTCCGAAACCGATACAACCTGATACAAATCCCCTTCTCTCTCATTAATTTCATTAAATTACATTTAGGGCCGAATTACCTCTCATTAATTTTATATTTACTCTTATAGTTAAGTGCAATTTCTCTCTCATTAATTAGTTAATTACTCATGTAATTAATGCATAATTTTAAATTTGAATTTCAATTTTAGCGCCCAA